AATTTAGGACAATCCCCATATAGTAACCATAGCTATCATCCCCTAAGTAAAGTCCCTACAAAGAGAGAGGTTCTTCCTGCTTTTAAGACACACAACCCAATTCAAGCGGAGCTCAGCGTGGCTTTGTCCACATCCAGGAGTCCAAGGAGCAAAACCCAGGTACTTGCAGGGTCAGGGAGGACTTAGTAAGTAGGTTAACAACCCCTGTAACCCATATCCTATCCCTAGTTATCCCCCTTCATGAACCTACTTACTGAATGCAGACAAAATTTGCAGTCACAAAAAGTGTTGGGAATGTGCATGAAGCGGCTGAAGCTGGGAGGTTACCTCTTCTTTCTTCCTGCCCTGGAAGAAGAGGCCGCTGGAGTCGAAACAAACCTAGAAGCAAGCGAGGTGACCGTGCGGATACGTGCGGCAGCACTCAGGAGTTAATAGTAGTAGTGATCATACTAGTAGTAACAAGAGTACTAAAAGCAGTAGAAGTAGTAGTCATAGTAGCCATAGTAGTCGTAGTGCTACTAGAAACAATCATAGTAAAGGTGCTGATAGCCCCTTTTGCCCCTGAGAGTCAGGCACTCTCCGCGTTGTCAAAGCTACCCAAGATGAGGCCCGACTGTGCGGTGCACAGGCCCTGGAGAGAGCTGGAGTTGTTTTTTTTGCAGCTCCTTTTTCCACCTGCACTTAGATCTGGAGGTTTAGGGAGGTTTAGGGCTTAGGCTTTAGGGGCCCTAGAGAGAGCCGGAGTGACCGATGCTGCGACTGAGTTGCTGTTTAGGAACTTAGACTAAGTTACCATAATATGGGTCTATGGTGCAAATAATGGGGTGTCCTTGTTGTAGTAACTTAGTTTGAACTCCTTAACAGCAACCCGGGCGAGGATGAGACTCTCTACTTAATGAGGGCGGGCACCCATGGTAGCAAAGTTAGCATTATAGTTTATTATGATGTATTATAAAATATTACAGTATAGTATATTACAGTATAAAGTACATCATAGTGTATTATGGTATATTACCATTAATAAAATGGTCGCATGTAAACGAGAAGAGGTAAACAGCGGCACAGAAATGCGAATAAGGATCTTGGTCTTAGCGCTGGTTTCCCAAACCCTTAACCATAAACCCAACAAGCAAATGGCGCTTTTCAAGGATGGGGCCCCGAAAGTGTCCATGGCTCAGAGAGTTCCTTAAGGGTCCAAGGACCCAAATGATAGGGTTTTGGGGCCCAACTACTATAATATCAATGGTAATATACCATTACATACTATAATATACCATGATACCATGAATATACTATAATATGCTATAATGTACCATAATCAACTTTAATATGGCCTAATGCAATATAATACTAAAGGCCTATTATTTGGATCCTTGGACCCTTAGGTCCGCAAGTCCAATCCAGGGCCCAGGCAACGCGCACCAGCCTGTGCTGCAAGGGAATTTGGGGGCTGTCATTGAAGAGAAAAAAGGGCCAGCATTAGTATTTTCTGGTATAAATTATTGTATATTATAGGGTATACTATAGTATATTATAGTATATTATAGTTCGTATACTATATAGTCTATCATAATACAGTATGGCATCTTATAGGGATGGCTGAAAACGATGCCAGTACCTCTGTCACTACGTCTTCTGAACGGATTGCTACTTGAGTTTGCACTTGTCAAGGCTGATACCAACCTCATATGACTTCATTGGGCAATATCAGCCCTGAACCCCGAAACCCTGAACCCTTAGCCGTTCCAAAACCGCTGCAGAAAAGGGATATAGGGAATTGTCAGCATGCTTCGCGAAGGCTAGCTCTTATGCATGCAAGTAGAGAGATCAAAGTTTCAAAGTAGAGGTGATTAGGGAATGCAGGGATGAAATATTGGGGTTATATTGGGGTTTCTAAGGAATATAAGGACAGAGGATCAATGATCCTCAAGGCCGAGCAATAAGTATCTACCAAAGCAAAACATCCAAAAATTGTATCAACAACGCGGTGAAATGCTCATGCTTGCCGGAGGAAGAACAAGTTCATACAGCTCGTCCCTAAACATGGGCTAACGCCTAAGCCCTAATCCCTAAACCCTACCCCCCAAACCCTAAATCCTAAACCCCACAAGTATCCCTGCAGCTGAATATGGAGCCCTGAGCTCTGAGGCAAGCCAGATCAAAAACAATATCGTTTGGCACTGCCCCCACCCAAGTACACTTGGTTTAGGGCTTAGGGTTTAGGTTTGTCATAAGGATCTTATTAAGGACTGTATATACTCATGCTATAATTAAGTATCTTATCCAGCTGTTACTGGGTGGGGGGCAGTCATACTGAGAATGCCAGCTGTATTTATCGACGTCAAAGGCCCCTTTAACTTTCCCAAGCTCCCAAACGAAGTCCACTTTGCTGCATCCCTTCTATTTGGGAAAAGTCCCGGTCCGAAGTCGCAACACTGACCTCAAACCTAGGCCCCCGAAAATTCTCAACATGAAGCCCGGCCCCCCTGACAACAATCAATACCAGCAATCCAGCGAATTTATTTTCAAGACCAACGGCTTTCTCAAGAAGATCGAAAACAGCGCGGCCACATCCCTGCTCATCACCAGCATCATCCTTATCAGAATGACGAATTAAAATCTTAAACCTCATACCTCCGAGCCTCAAACCCCTAATCCCTAACCCCGAATTCCCTGAACCTTACATAAATCAAAAAACAAGCACCAAAGACTGCAGCTTAAAGTTGCAATTTGTTGTTCTCAGGGGTTGGGAGGGGTGGATGCTACAAGTACCAATTCTCCCTTTGACTTACACCCTACACCTAAACCCTAAATCCTGAACCCTCAACCCCAAACCCTAAATGCTAAACCTTAAATCCTAAACCCTAACCCCCTATATCCTACACCCTAAAACCTTAAACCCTAAACCCTAAACCCTAAAACCCTAGACCTTAAACCCTAAAAACCCTAAAACCCTAAAACCCCAAAACCTTTGACTTTAGCCATGAAGCTGCGGGGGCCGGGGTCCCGAGAGTCGACTCTGCGGCTCGTAGAGGGTTTTGGCCTGGCAGGTACGAAAGGGGCGCTAGTAATGGGTTTCAGGTTGACGGGTTATAGGGTTATAGGGTTATAGGGTTGAGGGTTATAAGGTTTAGGGTTGTAGGGTTTAGGGTTTGGAGTTCAAGGTAAATGATGAGGAGTTGGAGGTGGGAAATATGAGGGAACCGATACACGGGGGTGACGGTAGAGCGCGCTTAGTGTAACACTGCCATTACCAGTGTTCATAACCTTGTCGCAAAGGACTTCACTTCAGCCTGCAGCCCTTTGATAAAGTTGACATATTGAAGCAGGCGCTCAAGAAGTGGCATGCGGCTTCATAAGGCCTCTGGTAATTCCTAAGGTCTGTCAAAGCAGAGCTGCAAGGAATTGGGGGGGGCTTTGCTGGTGTGCATGCACACAGAACAACTGTGCACTTTCGGAAAGCCTCAGCAATCATCACCTCAAAGAGGTATCGCCCAGCCTGCGCATAATGATGTTGACATGCGAAGGCTCCCTTTTCATAGGGATTGAAGGTGTGAGTGGGCATGGGACTGGCTTACATTTATGAGACGAGGCTGCTACTTTCTGAGACAACTGGGTTCATAGTAGGGAATAATTCAGGGAGTAAATTACATAGGGGGTATATTCCCTTTGCTACGCCCCTGTAAGACTGTTCAGTGGCTGCATCTTCAAAAAAAGGGCCTGAGTTGAGCGAGGAGCCAAGTGATGTCCAGAACCGGCAAAAAGGTTCCAAGGCCAAGAGAAGCTGATGCACTGCTCGGTTCCATGCTGCTAGGGAATAATGGAAAAATGGAAACTACTATAGTACATTGGGGATTATACGGGGATAATGGAAATGAAATGGAAATTAGGTTCTCATAGGGAATAATGGAAAGGAAAATGGAAGCTACTATAGTAAATTTGGGCGTTCTACTTTATGGAAATAAGGGAAATAATCCCTAACAACCCCTACATCGCATATTCCCATAGTGCCTGCTCATCCAATATTGCGGTTGTCACTCCTGATCACCGATTACTTCTAGCGGTACTCTTCCTCTTGTGGCAGTGTTCACTTTTTTTTGTACTGGCTACATAAAGTGTAGGGGCTAACCTTCTAACGATTCGCCCTAGCTGCCCCAATGCCTGTTCAACCTCAGCTTCCAAGTCAGGATCACTCATCGCATCCAATCATACAAGGACGGTTGTCAAGCGGTCGGCCAGCTTCCGGCCCCTGATCCAAGATGGCTATGTACATTAGGTCTTCAAGTAACCCTCCAGGCATTCTTTTACATCTGCCCACGTCTTGACTCTGAGAATGCTGCGGGCTTGTCACATGCAGATATGTCTAGACCGACCAGTCAGAGAGGATCGGGTTCTGAGATAAGTCCTAGTTTACTGACCTCCAAGCGATGACTCTACAGCTTGTCTGCGGAATGCTGATTGAAGCTGAAGCTCTAAATCCTGAACCCAAGCAAGCTATCTGAAGCCCAAATCCCACACTGCCGAATCCTAGACCCTGAACCATACCTGTAGCAAACCACTGGCCCTCTTAACCCTAAATCATGCTAAACCATGCTACAGCCTAGGCATGCCTAGGCCACACTTTCTTTTTTCAAGAAGGTTCTTCGAGGCACGCACGTGCCTTCACACCCACGCTCGCCCGCGCCCCCGCCAGCAGATACTGAAAGCCGCCATCACCCAGCGCCTCGGGAATAAGAAGCTATATTGGGGCTATATTAGGGTTATATTAGGGTTATATTGGGGTTATATTGGGGTTATATTGGGGTTATATGGGGGTTATATGGGGGTTATATTGGGGAATAAGAAGCACTGGGCTGCTGTCAAGGAACGAGTACGTGGCCATCTTGAGGAAACCCTAGTCCTCCCTATTGATATATGTGTATATGTATATAATCCATATCGGGGCTACATAATTGTAATGCCTTTTAAAGCAATGTGGCTCAAGATTCAGTTTTGGGGCCTAGGATCAAAGATTCCACGGGTTCTGGGTTGGGGCTTGAGTTGATGGATAGCTTTGATAGATTAAACCACATTTTACGCATGGAGGCGTGGGGTACATTGATGCATACAGTTTAAATGAGGACTTTTTGGGCGGGACACACATGATAAGGAGACCCAAGTTTGGGAAACACCTAACCTAAATCATATCCAGGGTGATCGTGGCACAAATCATTCACGAATGTGTCAGCGAGAAGTAGAACAGAAGCCTTCGCGGGAGCAATCCGAGCTTGATTCACCAGGCGGGGTGAAAGATCTTATCTCAGACTTCAAGCACTTCCCAAACTAGCGTGGCGTCTAATGTAACGCATATGTAAGTTTGTGCCAGGTGTGGCCAAAGTATGAACCCATGCTCTTAAGCAGAACCCTTGGCAATGATGGCCAGCATAAAGCTGAGAGGGGACGGCGGTATAAGCAACACCAAGCACTGAATACTGGAGTGGGCACTGAGGCATGCTGTTCTGGAGCGAAAAAGGAAAGATGACAAACACATAAGAAAAGTCCCTTGCCTGTGCCTTCACTGTCATGTTGCAAGGGCCACCCATAAAACCCATTATAGTAGTTTCCATTATCCCCCATATAACCCCAATATAACCCTAATATAGCCCCAATATAGCCCTAGTATTTAGGGTATTGCAGTGACAGTGAGATGAGAAGAATGTAACCCCGGTGTCAGGTGCAGGCTAAGACCATCCGAGGGAAGTTTTCGGGTAAGGACTATAGTCCCCGTTTAGAATATGGGTCCCTTGAAAGGGGTTATATAGGGATTATATAGGGATAATGGAAAAGAAAATGGAAACTACTATGTAGGGTTTAAGGTTTAAGGTTGGGTTTAACATAGGGATAATGGAAAAGAAAATGGAAACTACTATAATACAATGGGGTATGTATTGGGGTTATAGTCCCCCTTAAGTAGATAGAATATGGGGTATATGGGGATCTTATTATATTTTTCCCAAAGCATATTCTATCTACTTAAGGGGGACTATACATTGATCACATCTTGACGCATCCCCAGATTTTTTGTCGCAGCCTGCAATCCTGCTCCAGGCATGTACTGGAGTAGTTCGAAGCTCTGAGAACACCAGACTTTGTTGCTCTATTACGAAAACTATGATTATTACTACTATTACTACTACTTGTACTATGAGTACTATTACTATTTCTATGAACTTTACTACTGTTATTGTTACTGCTTGTACTATGAGTACTATTTACATCCATCATCTGGCCCGTGCTGAGCTCGGGACCATCAGTAGCTTACCGTTGACTGTCGGGAGGACCTCAGCAGTCTGCCGACATGAAAGTTGTCAGCGGGTAGGGCGGGAGTTGACCCCATTTCGACTTTTTATAGGGACGGTATGTTGGGGTTATATGGGGATAATGGAAAAGAGAATGGAAAGTATAGGGATTATAAGGATTGTATGGGGTTTATGTAGGGATTATAGGGACTATGTATTGGAGTTATGTTGGGATAATGGAAAGGAAAATGGAAACTACTACGTACATTATTAAGGGTTTAGGATTTAGGGTCAGGAGGACTTAGTAAGTAGGTTAATAAGGAGGATGACTAGGGTTACTATATGGGTTATAGAGGATATTAGCCGACTTACCAAGTCCCCCTCACTCTTTAAGTAGGCAAAGGACCAGCACGATTCCTGATTCCTGCCAGGTCTTGTCGTTGTTAATTGGCAACATGCTGCCTTATCCCCCCTGTATATACCCTAATCATATAGTAGCTTCCAGTTTTCTTCCGTTCTCCCTGTATAGAGCCCGATTACCCCAGCTACACCAAGATAGTACATTTGTGGAGCTTCAGGCTTCAAGGGATCATTCAGGAGCCCTGGCATCAACAGCGTTGCTGTAGAGTTCTGATTACAAATGAGCCATATAGGCTCAACTCCTAATACGCCCCTTAACAAGCCCTACAGTAGTCCCCTGTACAACCTCCTTTAAGGAGTTTAGACCTTAAACCCTAAACCCTATATAATCCCCCATATAACCCCCTCTAAGGAGTTCAAGCTATAGTACACACGAGTATGCTGGGAATGGGACGTTCACAGTGGTGTCCTCTGTCAGGAAGCAGCACTGTCCAGCCTACGGGCTGTAGGCTGTAGCAATAATAATATCAATAGTAGTAGAAATAGCCATAGCAATAAACTGGGTTGCCCCCTAAACCCCTTTGAAAAATATTGGTATATAGGGTCCCTTATTAACGCCATTAGGGAAAACATCAAATATCCCAGGGGCCTACCCAGTAATAATGGCCATAATAATAATCGTAACCATGTAATAATCGCAATAACAATGTAGGACGTGGCTTCCATGAGAGTTCGGAGAAAAAGATGCAAAACCAACAGGGCCCCTCTCGGGTTCATACAGGCTTCCGGGTTCAGGGATGCTGACCCATCACCCTCAGTGGGTAATTGCTCTTGGTCTTCCTGAACGCGTGGTGCTTGCAGAAGGGAATAAGGTGGACGTTCTCTTTGAGAGGTGCTTTTTGATGAAGCAGGTCATCTGAACCAAACCATGAGAGGTACAGCCCACTCCTAGTGCTCCCCAACCCTAAATGATTAGTAGTTTTCATTTCCTTTTCCATTACCCTAAATAACCCCTATAGAACCCCTAGTTTTGTCCCAAGAATTGCACTCTTCACAGCAACGGCCAAAGTTTTCTCATAGCTCCGGGAAATTCGCCCGTGCCTTCAGGAAAGGCTTGGAGGCGGCTGCATCTGTCTCGAGCTCCTCGAGCCACGCGGTTTAGGGCTTAGGGTTTATGCTCACACCCTTGTCCATGCCCAACTGCTGGTATGGTCTTGAAACCATGGCTGGGAAAGTGCAATTTGTAATTACTCAACACAACATATGATCTTCCAGGTGAGCATCTGTCTGAGAAGGGGAGCCATTGGAACAGACTTGATGAGCCATACTCAAATTTCTATACTATAGCTCTACCTACTAATAATAATAATAGGCGTGCGAACACATTGCACGAGGAGTCTAGGCTAGTTCTCAGAGCCCTTTTTTTGAAAATTGTTGACTCTGATAGTTTCGCTCTCCAGGATGCCCTGTTGCGAAATGAGTAGTGTTCTTTGGTGGTTGAACCTAGTACGATTATATTCCTTAAATAAACTACTATACCCCAAAAGGTGGATATAATCTTACTCTAGAATGGGTACCATAGTATCCCCAAATAAAATACTACGCAAATGACCGAGCCACGTGCAGAAAACCGTCGCACAGAGGCACATACATTGCCGGGCCTGAAGCACCTATAGGACACAAACAACTGCAACACCCCGTGATGCCCTCTGCACAATTTCTTAAGATCCTTCAAACTTCTTTTGTGGGCAGCCCACGGCTTGCACCATCTGATCGGAGCCTACTCTGCGACAACCCGCTCCACATTGGCAAATGTAACTTATGTACATCTCGCGCACGCTCAAGTTCGAACGGAACCCATTGGCCACACGGTTTCGCCGAAGCAAATGCACAGCCCGCTGCACTTTGAGGCCACTGTACATGAGAGATGCCACGTCGTTCTGCAGAGCTCTTCTGTCCTGCCTGCGTGACATGATCGCGAGACGATCAGGAGGAAATGCATGTTTTCCACGGGTCAGCTGAGTTCGCCAAGCTTCATAAAGCTGACATGACAAGAGGTTTGCTCCCTCCCACACTTTGCGTATGTCAAGCTTCAAACGGCCTTCACTGCTTGCATCCAGAATGCGCAGGATGACCATCACCAAGACTCATAAAAAGGTCTCGCTCCAGACGAACGGATGCAGCTAGCTAGCAGCTGCAAGTCCACGCTGCTCGGACTCATGGAGCTTGTCACACCTTACTCTGTGGAAACCAACCCCTATACCCAGTTCGTAGTTGTCTGGTATCTACCGCTGTAGTCAGCGGCAGCGTGCGTGCAATGTGGCAGTACGCAAGTTGCTAGATCTATAGCCAAGCAGCTTTCCAGCGCTGAAAGGTGGCGAGGAGGACGGGCAACAGCTCATTTCGTGGCTACACAAGGACTTGCGTAGGACGCCAGCTCAGACGCCATGGAAATGCTGGGCGTCGCCGCTACGAAGTGCGTGTTTGAAGGTCAAAGGTCGCTGTCGCCTCCGCAGCGCAAGCTTCGGAGCAATTGGTCGCAAAGACTAGCAAGGAATCCTTGGCATCCAGCAGTTGCACAAAAACGGCAATGCTCTCTAAATTTGAGCCACACGTCTTTCTATTGTTGGACATTCTTGCATGCAGTCGGTATGCAGCCCCTCATGTGGTTGAAACAAGCGACAGGGCCCGCCGCCATCATGCATGAGCTAGCTCTCGGCGCTGCGGTTCTTGGCTGACTTGGCCACGTACCTTCGACTACATTGGCTACATCATTAAGCTTGCTGACCCTGACTGATAGGGGAGGAATGAACGCAGTTGAACTCACATAAGCTACTGTCTAAACTCCTAGTATCCCCCTTAATAACCCCTATAGTAGTCCCCTATATAATTCCCTCCCCCTTTAAGGAGTTTAGACTATAGCTCACATGCGGGAAGCTTGCTCGCCACAGAAACTCCTTGGACATGTGCAAAACATGGGCTCAACACTCTAGATGCTGCGCAGCTTTAGAGGATTTGATGCATTGAGTTTGGCGCTCTAAGAGGGGTCCCTACATACAAACATATTTCAAAGGCTTTAAGAGGCCAACCCAGGTAATTGAGCGTGGAAGTTTGCAAGTCATGCGTTGACACCCTGTGTTGCTGCCCTATGAAAGCAGGAATGATTGCACAATGTCTTAGGGTTCATGGGACCAAGTAAATAAATAGAAAATCAAATGGAAAAGAAAATGGAAAATGAAATGGAAACCCTAGGTCCCTTAAAAGGGGTATATAGGAAACCCTAGGTCCCTTTAAAGGGGTATATAGGAAACCCTAGGTCCCTTTAGAGGGGTATATAGGGATATAAGGAGGTTGCGACATCAGCGAGGTTTGCTCGATGATGGTCAGGGCTGTAACAAGTTCGTCAGCCTACCATGACGTCAAAATGGAGGTTTCCTAAAATTAGGGGTACCCTTTAAAGGGGGTTTATAGGGGTTATATAGGGATATTATGGGACTATATTATAGGGTTTAGGGATTAGGGTTTAGGGTTTAGGGTTTCCCAAAATTAGGGGTACCCTTTTGGGGGTCCCTTAATAAGGACTATAGTATTTTTGGGTCTATATTGGGGTCCCCCCTATTTTGGGAAGCTACCAAATCATGTGCAAAGCCATGCGCTGATTATTACAAAGTGTAGTGGGCAAGGTCAAGTATTGAGCTCTCATCGGCCAAGACTGGACAAGTAGAGTCTTCCAGAACCGAACCCTCAAACTAGGGACAGTAGTTCTAGCACAGCCTCCAAATCCAGCCTGGCTGCTGGCATTTTCGCAGGTGAGACAGCCGTGGTTGGCAGGTTTGGGGTTTAGGGTTTAAGCCCTAGAGTTGGAACCCTATATACTCCCCTATAGAACCCCCTTTAAAGAGTTTAGACCCTGAGCCCTAAACCCTAAATCCTGAACCTTCTAGAACCCTCTTGTAAGGAGTTCAAACTACAGCTCATGTTATGCAAACTCCCTGTAAACCCTGAATCATGAGCCCAGGAAACGTGACCTCTAAAACTTCAACCCTCCACATTAGGGTTTAGGGTTTAAGGTCTAAGGTTTAGGGGACCCCCACCCTGTAATAGTGACTCTACGAAATCAGATGGGCTATAGTAAGGTCCTATTATGTTCCTACTATACCACTATTACAGAGTGGTCCTCCTAACCTCTACAACACAAAGCTTATAATGCAGAATCAAATGGAAAACATGGAAAATTAAATGGAAACTGGGATTATGTAGGGGGTTATAGGGATTAGGGTTTCCCAAAATTGGGGTACCCTTTTGGGGGTCCCAATAATAAGGACTATAGTAGTTTGGAATCTATATTGGGGTCCCCTACATAGCGAAACAACCATAAGGGGTAACCCTAAACCCTAAATCCTAAACCCTATACCCTAAACCCTAAACCCCAACCCTAAACCCTCAACCCCAAACCCTAAACATGCAAAGAAGAGTTGCGCCCTCCGCGCCGGCACCGAGTGCAACGCTTCCGCTGGTGCTGGTAGAGCTGAGGTGGCTGCCTGTGCTCAGGGGGGCGGAGCCCTAATTCGCAGGCGCATGGCATAGGGTTTAGGGCTTCAGGTAATAGGGTTTAGGGTTTAGGGGTTTAGGGTTTAGGGGTTTAGGGTTTAGGGTTGCAAGTCCAAAAAACATCAGATGACCTCGAAGATGCACATTTCCAATGCAGGCTTGTACATTACCCGGAGGAACACCAAAACAAGGCCTGATGCAGCTCGTCAGAATCACGCTGATAGTGCTGTTTGGGCTTTTGCTCAGCACCAGACATACTGCTAGGCTGCACATTATCAACATGAGCTATAGTCTAAACTCGTAGTATCCCAACCACTATACTACTCCCCTATATAATCCCCAATATAAAACCCCTCTAAGGAGTTCAGACTACAATAGCTCACATGATCATTTCCAGGTTCAGGCTGCCTTGGGCAGCACCAAAGCTGTGAGGGAGCCACCGTAGACGGCGCCTGACACGATGACACGGCAGCAGATGCCAAATCAAAGTTTTGCATGGGAGTCATCAATGTAACCATCACCGTCATGATCAGCTACAGAGTGATAATACCCTTCGAAGACGGGAGGGGAAGAACAGTTGGAAGAATGGGGGAGTGCAAGTACAGAAGGAGTAAGAACATCTGCGGCCATAGAACCAGCAGAGGCATCAACGGGCGACAGCAACAGTAAGATGAAGGATGGAGGAGTGCCAGTCACAACAAGAACACAGTAAAGAATGCCAATGCGACTTCCATTCCGGTTGCCACATGAAGCCGTGGAAGCTGCCAAAGTTTGGGCGCACCACACAGTAATAACATTCTTGCAAATACAACGGCCACTTCCTTTCCTTAACACGCTCCATGCGGATATTGAAAGCTTCGCGTGAATGTTCGACCATTTCGGAGTCTCCTCGCAACATCACAACGGTTCTTATCTTACAAATGGGCTTGGCTCCCATCGACATCATCATTTGCACCTCAGTATCATCGTGTCCCACTCACAGATTAGATCCGCCGCTCAAAGGAGTTGCGACCCTCATCTGTCCGTGCGGCCTGTATCCAGCCCAAGAGCAAACTCCTCCTTCTGGCAGCACAAGCTCATCACCGGGTGCAATAGTTTACATACTTCGTTGGGATATCAAGACGCAGGCCTGTTGTCAAGCTCTTGGGCACTGAAGAGGTCATTTTAAAGAAGCAAAACTATTTCACCTTGTCTCTCGTAAGTATCCCCGATGTTTTGACGCATCATGGGTCTGACAGGTCTTCTGCAACGCCGACTTATTCGACAGCAGTGTCCTGCTGCAGGCCGCGGCGAGCATCGTGCCCGAAGATCACCTGGGGAATGCTCGTGCTACGGATGATTGGCAAAACATTGAGTCGCACGGAGGCTTCCTGTGCGACTGCATCTGAGGAAGCTGATACTCGTATGCGGTAAGGAACACTACACATGGTACCCGTGCTTGATCGACCTGTCTGCCGGCACGGAAAAGCAGCGCGGGAAAACATCCTGCCAATCCTCTGTGCCTGCCACAAAAACTTCCTCAACGGCCAGCCTTGTTCAGGTCATCTCTACACACTGAGGTCTTACCTTACAATTTCAACATCTGGGCCTGA